ACACACTTTGGAACTTTTCGTTTAGTGTTTCACACATTTCCTTTTCATCTTCCGTGAATCTATTTCCCATTTTCAACCTCTGAATATTATCCTTTACCTGCAATTTGTTGTTTATGAATTTATAGAATAGACCTGGTTCTGTTTTACATTTGTCCGCAATCCCTTTTTCAAAATTTCTTTCTGCCTCTCTCCTCACTGCCGTGTAGTTGTTTCTCGCATCTTTGTATCGCTGGTATGTTTGGGGGTTCGGCCTCTTCCTGTATTGATTCCATTTTTGTGTCTTTCGGTCTCTAGCCCTCTCGCAATTTCTATTGAACCAATCCTGTTTCCTAGTTCTGCATCTCTGTTTTGGTATAAATTTTTTTGTGCCTTTATCATATATTTCACAAAACTTGCCATACATCTCATTCACTTCCTTGCCTAGCATCAAGTCTGTCCAATTATACTCACTAAAAAAATTTCTAAGGTCACCATAATGTCCTCTCCTGAAGTCTGGTTTTTCAACTGCTTCAACCTCCTTATTTTCTTCCAGCTTATAACGCATTGCATACTTTATTCCCAAAAAGACATGGTCACTTTTACCCAAGGGAGGAAGGTACTGAATGTCAAATATCTCTTCCTCCTTCCTGGTAAATATCAAATCTAGCATGGAGGGAACGTCCCCTTCCCTCATCCTCGTAGCTTGTTTAACATGTTGATACAAGAATGTTTCCAGGATGAGGTCTACAAATTTACAGGTCCAAAAATCTTCTGTTTTAGCTTCATATGCTTCCCAGTCTATGGATTTCAAGTTGAAGTCACCGACTATCAACAGTCGTGATCTATCGTTATCCGCTCTCGCTATAATCTCTCTCATTATTGTTATAAGACCTTCACGTTTACTATCTAGCTCCTCCTTTGACCATGTGCTGCTTGGCGGTGGACTATATGCATTTATCATCATTAGTTTATCATCCTCATAGCAGATCTCTAGTGCTATTATGTCAACTTCTTGTGGATTGTGTTGTTGCACGGTCGTGTGTCTGCTCTGCAGGTGAGGTTGTCATGTCTGACGCTTCTGTCAGCCATGGGCTGGTTCTCACATTTTGGTGGGGTGCTTGCCTAGTTGTGCTTGCAGGGGTTGAGCTCTGGCTCTTGGGCCCTGCCTCTCCTGTCAGTTGACAGTTGTGCAGTTTCCTGAGCCTCCTGGGCTCTGTCTTCTCTACAGTTGCTCCTGTGGGTGAAGTCTGCCTCCACCACATAGCTTCGTAGTGCTTTTCGCTTCCTTTCCCCTCTGACATTGATCAGGTTCTTTTTCGTGTCTGTGGCTCCTTTGGGTACTTGGCTTCCTCCTGTGTCCCCTTGTTCATACGACCATATGGACATAAGACCAGAGGAACTGCAGAGGGCCTGTTGGCCCGTTCGAGGCAGCTCCTATTTCTTCCCACCCATTCCCGATCATATACATGTCAATCCCACGTTTGCAGAAATCGTGAGGCCCCACCACTTTACGCGGTAATTGGTTCCGCGAATCACCGAACCTGTTACCGTGCTGGTCATTCCTCAGGTCTTTCCTGATTCTACACTTCTCCCTTTTATGCTCAGTGTTTCGTGTACAAAATGTGCTGCAAGGGTGGTGTGTGCCTCTGTCCCAGTTCTGTTGTTTCGTGAAGATTGGTGATAATAAACACAACCACTCAGAGGCTACATATGTTTTGTTGCGTATACGGTGGTATGTGGGTGTTATTTTGGCAGGCAATGGTGCGAGTTCAGCACACTGGGAGTCGGTACGGTTTCTCGCAAGTGTCTGTTCTAGACCACAATTGCAGGTCGACTAGTTATTATTCGCTGCTCTGCTGCTTCTATGCTCGGGCGATACCTCGCCGTTCTCCAAAGGTTGGCAGGCATATTAACTGGAAGTTTGGAACGGTTTGAGTTCCATAATTGGTCCTCCGTAGAGCTTTGCTTCTCTCGTTAGGCTAATGCGTTCGGAGCGAGTATCTTATTGGGATAATCTGCTCACTCCACCACCCTTGTTCACTGCTCCATCCTTGTTTACTCTTCCCCGCTTGGCGGGATTGAATCGATGGCTCCTAAGAGGGGTCTTTGGTGTGGTGTGTTTTTTGGTCACTTTGCGTGGGTCTTCAGTGACTTTTGTCCTGTCTTTTGTTCTTTGTTGTCCTGTGGGGCTCTGCTCCGCAATTCGGCGCTTTTGGTTTCGTTGTCGACACCTGGGTCTTTTCCCTCTCGGGACACTCATTCCTTGCCTAACTTCGGTGCCTGACTGCACCCTGCTGTCCATGAGATCCATCGGTTATGTACGCGCTCCTCTACACATTTTGTGGTTGGTCGTGTGCCTTACTTCCCGGCCGCTCCTTGGGCCGTATTCGGGGTTTTCCTTACCTATTTCAATTTTCCTCCTCCCATGCTCCACCTATTTGTGTGTCTAGGTCAGTGCTTCTGGCCTATCCTGTTGTTTGGAGCTCAGGTCGGCCTCTATCCATGTTAAGTTCCCTGCTTTTGGCCTTCTCCAGTGTTCCGTTTTGGTACCGAGTTCCTGCGATTTTCTGTGTGACTTCCTGCAGGCTTCGGTGTTACGCTGTCTGTGGGGGGTTGTGGACTTTTGGTCTGCCACTCCTGCCTTTCTGGTTCCTTTTCTTGGAACCGGGTTTGCTGGGTTCCGGTCCTGGCTCCGGTTTTTCTTTGTTCCTTTTCCGGACCGGGTGTGTTTGCTTTCCTGCGGTTCACGTCCTGGGTAATTCTCCTCTTGGATGCCTTTGGGCCGCGTGCGTCTTTCTTCCCTGCTGGAGCTGGTTATCTTGCTCCTTTGGGTTGCGGGGTCGCAGTTTTTCGATTCGCATTTTGCGCTTTCGTTCGTGGTGCTTGTTCTTGTTGTTTGTGTCGGCACTGGTGGGTTCCTTATTGGTCTCCCACCTGCGTGTGTCGTCTCGGGGGGCGGTGTGTGGTTTTCCTGGTGGTCCTTCCAGTTTTCCTATCTCTGCGACAGGTCCTTCGGTCTTTAATAGGGTTGGCTTGTCTTCCCTTCGGGGTTGTTCCGGGTCCGTCGTCTGGGCTCATGTCCTGTCACCTCGTATTGGATGGTGCTGGCAGAGCCGCTCCTGGTTGCGTTCGGTGTTGCGGTTCCTTCTGCTCCATTCCACTTGCTGTCCTGGGTGTTGTTTCTCTCTGGCCTGCTCTTGAGTTCTGGTGCCATCCTGGTAGTTGGCCTGGGTGGTCTATTTTCTTCTTGTTTTGGTCTTGGTTTTTAGGTTCGGGCGCATGGCATCCGCCTTCCAGTTCCTTCCCTGTTTTCCTTATCTGTGGTGAGGTAGCTCCGGGGAGCCGATGGGGCTTCCCCCAGAAAACCAGCGTTGAATGTAATGAAACACCTTTTTCTGGGTGAGTCCCGGAGGCTCCCCGGCATCCCTCCCTCCCTCCCGGTCGGCGGTGTGTTTCGTATATTTTGACATCCAGCCTAAGAACTGCCAGTTGGATCGCCGGCTTGGAGGGTCTGGGGCTCCCCCTTCCCTCTCCCGGGGAGGGGGGAGGGTTGCGCAAACGGTGGCGCAGCAACATGATGACGTCATGCTAGTTAGATAATTTTGTTTGGGGAGTTCTGCCCACTCGTTCGGCTTTCGGTAGCAATATTTTTACCAGAATAGGGGTTTGTTTTGGGGCGCCTACCTTTCTGGGTACCTATCCCGGTCGATGGCAGACATAGAATGCTCCCAACCACAAGGGGGTTTCTATAGGCCATTGCTCCTCGTGCCTCTCTGAGGGGGCCAGGTTCTGGCTCGTGGTCCCCGGTAGGCAAGAACTCCTAGCACTTTGATGCCAGAAAGTTATACATATCCATTCAGCCTAGATAGCTCCGGGGAGCCTCCGGGACTTACCCAGATTTTGGCGTTTCATTACATTCAACGCTGGTTTTTTGGGTTGTCATTGTGACCAATGGTGGGTGACTTTCAGCTTAAGAACAAAAAAATATGGTGTCTTTAACACTTTCGCTCACCCCGCGCGCCACCCCTCGACAGGGCGATATGGGCCCCAGCGTGTCACGGAAGCGCGCGTTAATTCCGAAAAGTATATACTCTCTTCAACTTTGTCACCTCAATTCTCCTTCTACGAGATTAAATTTGGTATCATTGTGTTCGCAATAAAATTCTCTACAGCACTAAATGCATATAAACTCCAAAAGCCCGGCTAATTACCTGCAGCAAACAGAGAAAGTGCGAACGAGTTACCCGGGAGCGCGCAAACGGGATAAAATGTTTTCACTATTTTCACTCTGGTCACCTCAAATGAAAGTCCTAGGTCTTTCATTTTGGTCTCAATGGGTTCGTAATAAAATTCTCTAGAGGAACATTAGCATATAAAAAAAAAAACCTGGTCACGCTCCAACCGCCGACGAGTTGAAGACGGGCCACGCGTTAGCCGTGAGTGAGCGCTCAGAGGCCTTCCTGCTACACTCCCAATTCCCACCCTTTTCAAGCCTTTCTTTCGCAATTTTCTTCCTGGAAGGGCCTTGTTCATGATTTCTATTCATCGTGGAGTAAGCGTAGATAGTTTCTAAAGCCGCAGTAAGAAATATAGCCACGGAAAATAGCCGAAATGTTCACACGTTTGAGATGCGAGGGGAGGCGACATTGGTCACAACAGTGGAGCAAAGACAATGGGCCCACGGCGTGTGCCAAGCCGCCTGAGGGCCACAAGGCTCAACAAACAAAATGGGAAGACATCGGCGCACATTTTAAAACCAGTCCCAAAAAAATCGGATAAAAACCTGATTTTTGGCGAATTTTTAAAGTGGATGACGCAATGCTGCGTCATCCCCGGCATTACCGCCAGTAAACGGATGACGCAATGCTGCGTCATCCCCGAGCGAAAGTGTTAAAATTATTGATGCTAAGGTTGCATGATGGGACCAAGCTAGGCAAGATCATATAAATGAGAATTTATTACTGTATAATGTAATGAGTTATACTGTACAACATCTCACTCATTTCTTTCTTTCTCTATAGGTTGACTCCAAAAACTCCGACACGTAAGAGCACTGGGCGGAAGAGTTTAATACCAGACTGGCCTGAGGCCTTGAAAGATGATGTTCTGAGGTTCTTTGATAATCTCAACCCCAAACAAACAGAGCAAACGTGTATTGCTCTCACTTGCAAGTAAGTATGATTTTCATATCTTTGAAACACTGAATTATATCTTTACCCTAATTTCAATATTCAGTTTAGTATAGTAATATAGACAGCCACGTGCACACGAACGCCGTGCATCCAAAACTTCCCGTTTCCCGATTGGGGTTGGTTTGGATACTCAAGTTCAGGAAGTGCAGGGGTTCGCATAAAATAGTTCGAGTATATCATTAAGCAAGCGTCTGTCAGGCCTCGCGGCCCGGGAGAAGGGGGGGGGGGAAATAGGCCTAGTTTGCCCACTGACTGCGTCTGGCACCTCTCTAGTGCCTTCTACCCTGTAACATCACAAATTCACGGCCCAGTGTTTCTATTGTTGATTTGTCACGAGACTGGAGACTTCATTCTGAGACTTTGTTGGATATATCTTCAAAATCTAGGAACATCCATGTACCGTGTCAGCTCCAAATGCACCCATTGTGTCAGTGAAAGCATCATCAAGCGAAATACGTGAAATAAAGAGGTCAGTGATGACATTTGAGAAGAAAGTTGAAATAATTAAGAAGGTGAAGAGCAGAGTCCCGAGAAGTGTTGTGTGCACTGAATATGGCATTAACAAGAGTACTGTTTTTGATCTTCTTAAGGCTAAACCTATCATTTTTTACAATTTCTCTAGACTTGAAAGTGATAAGGCAATATGAAATAGAAGATAGTAAGTAAAGCAAAAGAGGACAGTGTTGATAATGCAGTGTGGTGAAGAGGATGAAGAGACATTAAAGGAAAAATGTAATATGGAAAAAGTTCAGCAATATTTTGAAGGTTTTCTGGCATTAATGGAGATGAGTAACAGTGAGATTGAAATTAAGGACATGATGAGCCAGTACAATTTGTATGTGAAATTTTTGAAAACAAGATCAAAGAGAATGAAACAAATATCAATTAAAGTCTTTTGCAAAGGCTACCAAGAAGGCTTGCATTGCCCCACCTGCAACTGACTCGTCGCATGTTGACCCTAATGCATCAACATCTGAGGTTACCGTATCACCATTATTCTCCACTTGAGTCAGCCCAACACCATTAACATCCACCACCACCTCTTCCATGTAAATAACAATGATCCATCAACAATGATCATCAAGATAAGACACATCAAATCATCAAAGACACGAATTTCCCGTCAAAGAAAGAATAATTTAAATAGGGAGATTGAAGAAATTGAGCGGAAATTGAAACAATCATACCAAACTGAAGAAAGGCAGTTAGAACAGAAAGCAATTCAGGAAATAAAGAAAAATCCAAAATACTTCTTCACATATGCGAAAGCAAAAACCACTGCCAGTATTGGACCTATTCGTACAAGTGAAGATTCATACACGGAGGATGACAAAGAAATTAGTGAAATCCTAAAAAAGCAGTATGAGGACATGTTTAGCACTCCAATAAACAACATGAAAGTGGAAGATCCAGACAATTTCTTTATGCGGGATATCCAAACCAATGTAAATATAACTGATATCAACACGAGCGTACTAGACTTTGAAAGAGAAATTGAAAACATGCCCATGCACTCGGCCCCGGGTCCAGATTCATGGAATTCAATATTTATAAAGAAATGCAAAGTGCCGGTAGCACAGGCACGCAGTATAGTGTGGAGGAAGAGCTTGGACACGGGGTAGATACCAGATGCACTTAAAGTAGCAGACATTGCCCCTCTACACAAGGGAGGGAGCAAAGCATTGGCAAAGAATTATAGACCAGTTGCACTAACGTCGCACATAATAAAAGTATTTGAGAGAGTGATTAGGAGTCAGGTCACCAATTTCATGGAGACCAATGACCTTCACTACCCAGGCCAACATGGATTTCGAGCGGGAAGATCATGCCTTTCACAGCTACTTGAGCACTACGACAAAGTCACTGAGGCATTAGAAGAAAAACAGAATGCTGATGTGATATACACGGACTTCGCAAAGGCTTTCGATATGTGTGACCATGGTGTGATAGCACAAAATGAAGTCAATGGGAATAACCGGTAAAGTAGGACGCTGGATACTCAGTTTTCTGTCAAACAGGACTCAGCAAGTAACGGTCAAGCATATAAAATCTAGTCCAAGTGCAGTTAAAAGCTCTGTAGCTCAGGGTACAGTCCTTACACCGCTGCTTTTCCTTATTTTCATATCAGATATAGACAAAAATACAAGTCACAGCTTCGTATCATCCTTTGCAGATGACACAAAAATCAGTATGAAAATTATCTCGGCTGAAGACATTGAAAAACTTCTAGCTGATATTAATAAAGTTTTCGACTGGGCATCAGAAAATAACATGATGTTTAACAGTGATAAATTCCAGGTACTCAGGTACGGTAAAAATGAGGACCTTAAACATAATACAGAGTACAAAACACAATCAAATGTACCAATAGTAGGAAAACAGCATGTAAAGGATTTGGGAATAATAATGTCTGACGACCTAACGTTTAAGGAGCATAACCAAGCAAATATTGCGACAGCCAGAAAAATGATAGGATGGATTACGAGAACTTTCAAATCCAGGGATCCCATCACAATGGTTGTACTCTTCAAGTCACTTGTGTTGTCCCGTCTTGAGTACTGCTCAGTACTCACTTCCCCCTTCAGAGCAGGAGAGATTGCTGAAATAGAGGGAATACAGAGAACATATACAGCACGCATAGACGCGATAAAGCACCTAAATTATTGGGATTGTCTCAAAGCCCTCCAAATGTACTCACTAGAAAGAAGACGAGAGAGATATCAAATAATATACACCTGGAAGATACTGGAGGGCCTAGTACCAAATCTACACAGTAAAATAACAACGTACTGGAGTGAACGATATGGAAGAAAATGCAGAATAGAACCAGCGAAGAGTAGGGGTGCCATAGGCACAATCAGAGAACACTGTATAAACATCAGAGGTCCCCGGTTGTTCAACACCCTCCCAGCAAGCATAAGAAATATTGCCGGAACAACCGTGGACATTTTCAAGAGGAAGCTAGATTTATTCCTCCAAGGAGTGCCGGACCAACAGGGCTGTGGTGGGTATGTGGCCCTGCGGGCCGCTCCAAGCAACAGCCTGGTGGACCAAACTTTCACAAATCAAGCCTGGCCTCAGGCCGGGCTTGGGGAGTAGAAGAACTCCAAGAACCCCATCAACCAGGTATCAACCAAGTATCCGTGCACCAAGTTGGTTCCAAATGCACTCATTGTGTCAGTGATGGCTGACTGGTGGGTGGATGGGCAGGCAGGCAGGGATGGAGAGGCTGAAATGTAGGCCGGCAGGTAGGTAGGCAAGGAGGTAGGCAAGGAGGGAGAGGCAGGCAGGCAGGCAGAGCTTGGGAGGGAGGCAGGCAGGCAGGCAGAGGCTGGGTGGTAGGCAGGGAGGGAGAGGATGGAGATGGATGGTAGGATGGAGATGGATGGAAGGTTGGAAGGATGGATGGATGAATTGATGGAGGGATGGATGTTGAGTTGAGGTGAAGCAGAGAGAGCGTGTGTATGGGATGTATGGGGGGGGGGTGTGTCCGTGGTGGGGAAGGACTGGCTCACTCTGATAAGCCTAACACACTTGACCCAGTTAACCAGATTTGTTTCTTAAAATTTTGGATGGATGGAGGGAGGGAGGGAGGGAGGGAGGGAGGGACAGAAGAAAGGAAGGAGGGAGGGAGGGAGGGAGGGAGGGATGGAAGGAAGGAAGGAAGGAGGGAAGGATGGATGGAAGGAAGGAGGGAGGGAGGAACAGAAGGAAGGAGGGAGGGATGGAAGGAAGGAAGGAGGGATGGAAGGAAGGAAGGAGGGAGGGAGGGACAGAATGAAGGAAGGAAGGAAGGAGGGAGGGATGGATGGATGGATGGAAGAAGGAAGGAGGGAGGGATGGAAAGAAGGAGGGAGGGAGGGAGGGAAGAAGGAAAGAAGAGATGGAGGGAGGGAAGAAGGGATGGAGGGAGGGAAGAAGGGATGGAGGGAGGGAAGAAGGGATGGATGGAGGGAGGGAAGAAGGGATGGAGGGAGGGAGGGAAGAAGGGATGGATGGAGGGAGGGAAGAAGGGATGGATGGAGGGAGGGAAGAAGGGATGGATGGAGGGAGGGAAGAAGGGATGGAGGGAGGGAAGAAGGGATGGAGGGAGGGAGGGAGGGAGGGAAGAAGGGATGGATGGAGGGAGGGAAGAAGGGATGGATGGAGGGAGGGAAGAAGGGATGGATGGAGGGAGGGAAGAAGGGATGGAGGGAAGAAGGGATGGAGGGAGGAAAGAAGGGATGGATGGAGGGAGGGAAGAAGGGATGGATGGAGGGAGGGAAGAAGGGATGGATGGAGGGAGGGAAGAAGGGATGGATGGAGGGAGGGAAGAAGGGATGGAGGGAGGGAGGGAAGAAGGGATGGAGGGAGGGAGGGAAGAAGGGATGGAGGGAGGGAGGGAAGAAGGGATGGATGGAGGGAGGGAAGAAGGGATGGATGGAGGGAGGGAAGAAGGGATGGATGGAGGGAGGGAAGAAGGGATGGATGGAGGGAGGGAAGAAAGGATAGAGGGAATGAGGGAGGGAGGGCTTCGGCTGGAGTGTTCATTCCAAAGTCATGGAATGAACACCCCAGAGCTAGAGAGGGTATTGTGGTACAAAACAACAGCAATATTGCAGAGCCAGGTATTATAAACAATGAGAGCAATAGTGGGAAAGAGGGCATAAACGAAGGAATTGGGACGAAAAACGGAGATGGCTCCAATAAAGAGGCGGCCAAGACAGGCACAAGTATAAATATCCTGAAAAAGGTAAAAATTGAAAATATTTGCAAATTCTCTGTACAAGGAGAGCCGGTCGGCCGAGCGGACAGCACGCTGGACTTGTGATCCTGTGGTCCTGGGTTCGATCCCAGGCACCAGCGAGAAACAATGGGCAGAGTTTCTTTCACCCTATGCCCCTGGGACCTAGCAGTAAAATAGGTACCTGGGTGTTAGTCAGCTGTCACGGGCTGCTTCATGGGGGTGGAGGCCTGGTGGAGGACCGGGCCGCGGGGAC